GTTCTAGAGATCGGATTTCACTCAAAACTAACCAATTGACTCTTCCCACCATATTATGATGTTGCCCAAAATTTGGGCTCGATCCGAAATCAATAGGTGCAAGAAATTGGACAATCCATGTTCAAAGGCAGTTTNTGTTTTGGGTAGTTCTAGACATCGGATTTCACTCAAACTTAACCAAATGACTCCTCCCACCATATTATGATGTTGCCCAAGATTTGGGTTCGATCCGAAATCAATAGGTGCAAGAAATTGGACAATTCATGTTCAAAGGCAGTTTGTTCCTAATTGGAGTGGTTGGTGTTTTGGGTAGTTCTAGACATCGGATTTCACTCAAACTTAACCAAATGACTCCTCCCACCATATTATGATGTTGCCCAAGTTTTGGGATCGATCCGAAATTAATAGGTTTAAGAAATTGGACAGCTTAAGTTCAAAGGCAGTTCGTTCCAAATTAGAGTGGTTGGGGTTTTGGGTAGTTCTAGATATCGGATTTCACTCAAAACTAACCAAATGACTCCTCCCACCATATTATGATGTTGCCCAAGTTTTAGGCTCGATCCTAAATCAATAGGTGTACGAAATTGGACAATTTATGTTCAAAGGCAGTTCGTTCCAAATTAGAGTGGTTGGGGTTTTGGGTAGTTCTAGAGGTTGGATTTCACTCAAACTTAACCAAATGACTCCTCCCACCGTATCATGATGTTGCCCAAGTTTTGGGATCGATCCGAAATTAATAGGTTTAAGAAATTGCACAGTTTAAGTTCAAAGGCAGTTCGTTCCTAGTCGGAGTGGTGGGTGTATTCCATAGTTCTAGAGATCGGATTTCACTCAAAACTAACCAAATGACTCCTCCCACCATAGTATGATGTTGTCCAAGTTTTGGGCTCGATCTAAAATCAATAGGAGTAAGAAATTGGACAATTCAAGTTCAAAGGCAGTTCGTTCCTAATCGGAGTGGTTGGTGTATTCCATAGTTCTAGAGATCGGATTTCACCCAATATTAACCCAATGACTCCTCCCACCATAGTATGATGTTGTCCAAGTTTTGGGCTCGATCTAAAATCAATAGGAGTAAGAAATTGGACAATTCAAGTTCAAAGGCAGTTCGTTCCTAATCGGAGTGGTTGGTGTATTCCATAGTTCTAGAGATCGGATTTCACCCAATATTAACCCAATGACTCCTCCCACCATAGTATGATGTTGTCCAAGTTTTGGGCTCGATCTAAAATCAATAGGAGTAAGAAATTGGACAATTCAAGTTCAAAGGCAGTTCGTTCCTAATCGGAGTGGTTGGTGTATTCCATAGTTCTAGAGATCGGATTTCACCCAATATTAACCCAATGACTCCTCCCACCATAGTATGATGTTGTCCAAGTTTTGGGCTCGATCTAAAATCAATAGGAGTAAGAAATTGGACAATTCAAGTTCAAAGGCAGTTCGTTCCTAATCGGAGTGGTTGGTGTATTCCATAGTTCTAGAGATCGGATTTCACCCAATATTAACCCAATGACTCCTCCCACCATAGTATGATGTTGTCCAAGTTTTGGGCTCGATCTAAAATCAATAGGAGTAAGAAATTGGACAATTCAAGTTCAAAGGCAGTTCGTTCCTAATCGGAGTGGTTGGTGTATTCCATAGTTCTAGAGATCGGATTTCACCCAATATTAACCCAATGACTCCTCCCACCATAGTATGATGTTGTCCAAGTTTTGGGCTCGATCTAAAATCAATAGGAGTAAGAAATTGGACAATTCAAGTTCAAAGGCAGTTCGTTCCTAATCGGAGTGGTTGGTGTATTCCATAGTTCTAGAGATCGGATTTCACTAAAGACTAACCAAATGACTCCTCCCACCATATTGTGACGTTGCCCAAGTTTTGGGCTCGATCTGAAAACAATTGGTGTAAGAAATTGGACAATTCAAGTTCAGAGGCAGTTCGTTCCTAATCGTAGTGGTTGGAGTTTTGGGTACTTCTAGAGATTGGATTTCACTCAAACATAACCAAATGACTCCTCCCACCATATTACGTTGTTTCCCAGGTTTTGGGCTCGATCTGAAATCAATAGTTGTAAGAAATTGGACAATTTATGTTCAAAGGCAGTTCGTTCCTAATCGGAGCGGTTGGTGTATTCCATACTTCTAGAGATCGGATTTCACTCAAAACAAACCAAATGACTCCTCCCACCATATTATGATGTTGCCCAAGTTTTGAGCTCGATCTGAAATCAATTGGTGTAAGAAATTGGACAATTCAAGTTCAAAGGCAGTTCGTTTCCAATTGTAGTGGTTGGTGTTTTGGGTAGTTCTAGAACTCGGATTTTGCTCAAACTTAACCAAATGACTCCTCCCACCATATTATGATGTTGTCCAAGTTTTGGGCTCGATCCAAAATCAATAGGTGTAAGAAATTGGACAATTCAAGTTCAAAGGCAGTTCGTTCCTAATCGGAGTGGTTGGTGTATTCCATAGTTCTAGAGATCGGATTTCACT